ACTAGGAGTATTGTCTGCCAGATTTGGGCTGATGTCTAGCCATGTTGGAACCAGCCAGGGTGGGAGGAGGAGGCAGTATGTGCAGTAGCTGCTATTTAAAAAATTATGCAATAAAATGAACGTGAGAAAATACAGCCTGGGATTGTAATCAGATTTCAGGTATGTTTTATAAACACTTCCTTTAATTTTACATTTTGCTTCAAAAAAGCCAGGATACCAACACAAAAGGATACTGGCATAAACTCTGCTTCCACTTCCATCAGTAGGAATTGAGTTTCTTCAACAGAATTGCTATTGATTCACATTGATGCAGCCGAGAGTAGGATCTATTCTAATGCCTGGAATTCTCTCCCTTGGTTTTTGAAATGAAATGCTTTCTGAACACAGGGAACAAATATATAATTTTAGTGTGGACAGTTTAAAATGTTAGATTGAGAAAAAGAAAACCTAAAGGTAAAGCCCTTTTCAGAGCACAGAGTGCATGTGGCTGTTCATGTATGTATAACCTCTAACACACTCTAACTGCTCATCTTACAAAGTCCTTGCCAACCCCATTTTACTTTGTTTCTACCTGGTCTGCTACATAAAGACAGATGCCTTCAAAATGTAAAGGCATGGCATGGAGAAAGCAAAGGCCTGACAATTTACACACAGGACAGGCTCTACTTTTCCTTGAATGAAGGGAAACAAAAGTTTAAACATACCTGCTAAAATATAAGACCTCAGACCTGCTCTGAGGTCCCTTCAGAGGAAAGGAACGGGTTTTGAAGGAGTTGAATGTAGAAGCTGAGGAAAGCTTAGGACCTGCTCCTCTCAGATTGTAGTTGCTCCCAGGGCTGAAATGTTTGGATTGGCGGTATATAATCAATTTTGAAGCAAAATATGTCTGGATTTTCAGGGCTTGCAGAGCTTGGAAAGATAGGTATCTATAACTCCTCTCTCACAAATAAAGAATCTGGTTTACAGAAAGGTAAAAGAAAAGGTTGCCCAAAGTGAACCAATGCTTCAGGGCAAGCAATAAATTGCTGATCTCCTGATCCAGACTGTAGATTAGCTCTTGTGTCATTTAATAATGTTTAAAATGTTTGGTAATTGTGCATATTAAAAACTGTTGACAGGAGTCTATGTAGAATAGACGGGTCAAAGAGAAGCCTTGTACAATTTTTTTTTTTTCAGTACCTTGTGCTTTTTTTGTTCTTATAATTTATCTAGAACCATTGCATTATGTGATCATAATAATTATATTTCTAAGGTCTTAGAGGCATAATGGCAGAAGTTTATCTCCAGAAGTACTGTAAGGAATGAAATGGTAATGTGGTTTTTGAGGGAATTTTATGGGACAAATCAGCACAAGACAAATTCTTGAAAAACTTTAAAAATCCTTTTTGGCACAGTAGCCTTAAAGAAAGAAAAAGTAAGATAGATTGAATGCTGAGTTCACTTCATTATTTATAAATAAAATGGTGTTCAGTTTTCCAAGGCATAATGCCAGAGCCCGGTGTCATTTAGAGGTTTCAAAACCATTAGTTGATTGTTGCCTTTTCATTGAAAGTTTTTGGGGTACCAGTGAATACCAGTATAGAGAGGGAAAAAATTGCACCATCTGATAAAATTTTCTTGAACCCTTTCAGACTATGTAAGTTGTTTACTCTGTGTGTCTCTGTGTTCACCCTTTTCTTTGCTGTGTAGTTAGGATTTTTCCCCTTATAGCTGCAAAATAAATGTTATAGTTAGTGGCTCAGAGGTAAATCTTTCTTTGTCCCATATTTAGAAGTCTAGTTAATACCTTTGTTTGGTGGAAAGAAAATCCACCAGCTGAATGTGTGGGAAAAGGAATGAAAGGTTATGCCCATCATGAAGTGTTAAATCATTATGGTAAAGCTTGTCTTTCAGATTTAGAAGGAAGGTAGGTCTTGGTAAAAGCTGTTTTTAATGAAGTGTTGTACTGTAAGAAACGAATTGAAGAGATGTTGAAAATAAATTGTGGATTTTCCCCTTGCGTCCATGGCCACTCTTCTTTGCTGTAGGATTTTCTCTGTGCTTTGCTTTACTTTATTTTTTGTTCTGCCACGAATGCATAAACTAATTGGGGTTTTTCATAGTCTCTGGTGCCCTAGAGGTATAAAATGTCATAAATAAACTGTATTGTGGGATCTGTGTATGCAGTTTGGCTTCACTAGCCCTACCTTTGACATACTGTGTTGTGTTTTATTCTGGTAATCTGAACAAAACCATTTTCATGACAAGTTCCTACTCAGTCCAAATAAGAGTCAGAAGTTGTGATTCTTCAAAACTCGAGTTAAAGAGTCACAGGCAGCTCTGCCCAAGACTGATCTGAAGAGAGCTGGAATAAGAACAATGATTTTTTTTTTTTTTTTTAGACAACTGTTTGCACTTCTTAATTGCAGCTAAGTGTTACACTGCTTTTAGAAGGGCTATCTTCTCTGGCTCTGGGAGGGGATGCCTCTTGGGATGGGGAAGGCGCCAGTTTGCTCATTTCCCTCTTCTCTACATCAGACTAAAGGCCACTGGCATTTTGCAGTCCTCTGCATCCATAACCTTATCTCTTTCCCAGTTTGCTCTCTTATCACTAGCCCTTTAAATAGGTCTTTTCCTTCAAGCCTTGGGAAGGGAAATGGTGAAAGGCGCTATCTCCTTTTCCTCTGAGGAGAATTCAGAAACATTTTTCTTATTCTGCAGAGATTAATCGAACTTCTCACCATCCTTTTCCCCACCTGTAAGTTTTTACCTTTGCCTCATCAAGCCTGTAGGCTTGAAGGTATGCAGCTTCCACTCTGCTGAATACCTTTTAATCCCTTTCTCTTCTCTGGTGGTGGTTCCTGTTCCATTAGAAAAGGTGCAATTCTTCATCTTACCTGCTCAAGCTATGCCTTCACCAAGATGGACTCTTCTTAGAGTAGCCACAGTTTGCCGAAGAAGCTTAATGTATTGATGGCAATTAAAAAGCAATATGAGAAATCGATCAGGAGGTTGATTGTAAGGCAATATCTTACAAAACCACAGTATCGGTAGCCAGGTTACCTGGACACTAACACTATGCATTATTTGAGTCTTTGAGGAAAAATTAATCATGTGTTCTTTGGTAATTGCTGTGCAGATAAAGATAATTATATGGTTGCCAGAAAAAAAATCACTAAAACAGTTTTGGGAGATCACTTACTTCATATGTTAAAGAAGTGGTGAAGCTGTGCCAGCAATGCTTTTATGTGAAATAAATCTTTGTTAACTGAAACTTCACTTATTTTTGTGCTAGCATAAGAGAAGAAACATTGTTTGTTTCCAAATGGCATCTGATTTCATGCATCTGCTGGGAGCAGCAATCCACTTACCTCATGTTCCAGTGAAAAGGGAAAGATGATATTGATATATTGAAAAGTCCCTTCAAAGAATAACAGTATGAATGTACATGAAACTTTCTATCCAGCATACATTTAGCACAGTCTAAAATTTAGTGTTGTAATGAGAGAAAAACCAAGATGCTTACTGTTTCAGTGCTAAACTTCAAGTAGTTGAACCGCTGTTCATGACCTCTTCAGCTACAGGACTGATTGTTTCCTTTCCTAAAACAATGTTGTAGTCTGACACCGGGAAACTTGGTGTTAGGAAGAAAATGTCAGAAAAGAAAAAGAAGGGTATTGAAGATACAAGAAAATTGTGATGAGTACTTTGGTATGAGTAAGCTTTGAAATGTAAGATAGAGCAGGAATCAGAAAGATCTCTCTGAGAAACTGAAACGTGGCAGAATTTTCAGAAAAATATTTTTTTGATAGCAGGAGACAGGATTAAATCCAGGAGAGGTTTCTTTCTTATTGCTGAGATTTGTTAATGTGAATGTGGTAAAGTTAGGGTAACAGCCCTGAAGGATGTGCACGAAGCAGATATGTAAGTTAGTAAATGGAACAGAATTGTCCCTTTATTATGGCTCAGGATTTTTTTCAAGGAAAATATATTTGCATGGAAGATGGCCATCTATTCTCTGTTGTTGTTTCAATTTTATGGTATGCATAGTCAGCAAATGTATTAACTTCCTACATGATACATGTTGCTTCTGCCTGTCTGTACCAGTTTTGGATGTGTGCAGTGCACATGATATGCCTTCATGATAATTGACACCAGCTTACTGTGCCTCTCCTTACTAAGTGTTTGAAGATGCATTCCTGTTAACTGTACAGTGATGAGAATTTCTGTTGCTGTTTAAATCAGTAGTATTAAATGTATATATCTGAGTATACTCTGGGTGTGTATTTTACAACCTAAAGTCATAAAATATGGTCATTACTTGGAACCACCTGGGGGGAGCTGCAGCAGGAAGTGTTGTGGCTACTACAACAGGCTTTGCCTGCTCTTCCCTTGCAGTCAGTGACTGGTGGAAAGTTTTGGGAAAACACTGCTTTATTGGTAAGGCGCTGCTTGGTGTGTGATGGAGAAAATAAGATGGGCTGCTCCTGTCTTTTAGGTAGCTTCCCTCTGGTTTTCAGTCAGCTAATGACATTTCTACTCCCTTCGAGTTCCATTCATCTTCAAACTGCATTTTTCCTGCTGGATCCCACAATTATTTTTTGGGGGGGTGAGGAACATTTGTTTCCCGAGAAGAGTAGCACAACATAACAAGTGTTGAGATAACAGCCTGTCTTTGGCTGCATTTTATATAACAAGTGACTAGTAATAATCAGTAGAGGTGTTGCTCAAATAACTCTTTATCCGCATCTCCTGATTTTTGTTGCCTGGTTTCTCACCTATCTTCTGTGATGTTTTACGGGAACAAATGAGTCACTGTCTTCAGGTGAATCTGTAAAGAACAGTGTGAAAGAAGGTGTTTGCGTTGAAGCAGAACCAATGAAATGTGTCCTGATGAAGCTCGAAATGACACTTCTGTGTATTCTTCAGTGCCATCTGCTGGCAGAATTACCCACTAGAGACTTGGAGGCCAAGACTAAGTGGCAGCAATTTAAAAACATTTGTTTCTTTTCTTCTTTTAGGAGCAAGGCAAGATTGGTGTAGTCTTCAATATTGGCACAGTGGACATCTCTATTAAAGAGGAAAGCACACCTGTAAATGATGGCAAATACCATGTAGTACGCTTTACCAGGAATGGTGGCAATGCAACCCTTCAGGTTGATAGCTGGCCAGTGAATGAACACTACCCCACAGGTACATATATTTTTGTTTTTCTCTCTCAGTGTATCTGTATCTATAAACTAATGTTTAATAACAACTAATTGGTCTATAAATCTTTGTTGCTTCATCTTGACAATAAATTTGCGAGCCTGGTGATGTGTATTCTGTCCTTGGAAAACAAACTAATGGTCCTTTAAACTGGAAGAATAAACATGCCAGCTGTGTGGTATGATGCACACAGATCATGCTGTTTCAGAGATCTCTAAGTGAATCCTGGTTCTACACAGAGTTACAAAGCCATTCAGTGACAAACTTGGTTTTGCTACTTGTGATATTTTCTAAATATTTAGGGTAGAAAAGTTTTCAGCAGACTTTAGGAAAAGGAGCAGTGACTTTAGCCACACCCCACACACTGTCAATATAAATATAGTGTAGAAATGTAAGGAATGTAGAAGATTAAGCAAGTATTTGAGCAGACCTTTTGCTTTCTTTCCTCATAATTTTTTTATCATCTGAATTTCACTTTCTCTCTTAGGTTTGCAGATACAAAGGTTAACACACCACCTAACCGAGAATGACAATTCCTAGTTGACCTTCTGTCAATATGCAGTGGAAAAATTCAGTATCTTTGGAAATTACCACCCTAAATCCACCAGAAACAGTGAATAACTGGCTCTTGATACACTGTCACATGTTTTATCCCACCGCTGGCAAATCACAACTTCATGATACTTTATGTCACCATGCTAAAAGATCGAACTTACTCCAAGTGAAAAACAGATTGCTGTGTGGTGCTGACAGTGCATTAGATGGCTGAGGTGTGATGATGTATATGGTTATAAAAGGAAGAATGAACACAAGGAAAGAACTTCTAGTGTTAACCATATTCCTCTTATTCATATGTTGCCTAAGATCAAGCCATGATCAACTTGGTTTTCAATATTGAGTCTAAGAAACATTCACTTCTTTATTTCTAGATTGTACAGTAGTAATTCAGGACAGAGGGAATATTTCTTGCTAGTTGTTTAGGAATTATTCAAGAGAAACTTAAATTATAGAAAATATCCTAGCTCGAGGTTATATACTAATTTATGCAACATTATAGTAATAAATTACTCCAAGGGGATGACTTCATCTCTTCTACTCCCTCAGAAAGTACACAGGAAAGTTTTTAAATGTGAGTCATCTATTCTGTGTTGTTCTCTATCACATATGTCCCTTTGTCAGTGTTTCGTGAGGTATATTCAAAAGGATACATTTCAATTATTAACCTTATTTCTCTGAAAAAATTCTTTTTGAAAAATGCCATGACAGATATGCTCTGTTAGATTCTACCTCTGCTATCCATTGGTTTGAGAGGAAAGTGGGCTAGGAAATGTTCAGCTGAGTATCTTTCTTCTGCTCCTTTCATCAATTATTTTGTAAAATACCTCCAATCCAGTTGGCAGCCAATTACAGTCACTACAAACCCTATGAATAAATTTTTTCTTATATTACTTGCTGTAGTATGTCTCTGGTGTAAAGAAGCAAAATATTCAGCTCAATTCTTTAGAGATATTTATTTTTAAAAGGGAAAATAAATCACACTCAGAGAACTACCTCAGTACCCTGGGCTTCTGCCTTGGTTAAAGATATTTTTTTATTTTCATTAGAAGATGTATGGTTTTATGGAATCAGCATTAATCTTATGTTCTGGGCTAGTATTGAGTGTATGCAGTTGTATTCTAAGAAAAAAGGACACCTTTATCTTCCAGACACCTTTTCCTTTCTCTGTGCATGTATTTCAATGTTTTGTCTGTTTGTAGATGATGAATTTTTCAGCCTGTCCCTGTGAAAATAAGGCTTATGGGACCATACTTCATGTGTGCAGGTTTCTCCCTTATTCATTTTCTACTTCTTTCAGACCAATATTTTAGCCAAATTAAAAAAAAAAAGAAAATAGTCCAAAAATCAAAAAACCTAAATATGTTGTATTGCTGTGGGAAAAAACCCAAACAAACAAACAAAATCCAAGGGAGGAGGGCAATGTTCCAGCCTTCCCGGAGGAAAGGACTGTGGCTTGATGTCAATTTATGCTAAATACCAGAATATCTATATAACAGAGTGACATTATGAATACCTAAGATTCAGAAAAGATTCCATGAACCAATAATTACAGGAAACCAATACTTATTAGTCCCATTTTATGGCCAGTCAATGGTTCCAAAAAAAAGGCTGAACAGGAGCTTTTGAAAATAATTACTTGTCTTTCACAAACCAAATTTGCACTATTGTTTTTTGATCTGACTGCAAGACCAAACCTGTGTTCAGCAAAGATTCAGCTCTGTAAAGGTTTTGTGGTTGGATGGACCAAGGCTAATGCAGTGTGTTTCAGCTGGAACCTGCTGAAAGTTTAAATTCATGTAAAACTTGATTGATAGATGCTAAGTAATCCCTTATGTTTTGCATAGGATCATGTCAATTCTGGAAACACAGTTATTTGCAGTGTTTAAAAAACGTTGCATTTGTAGACTGTGCTTGCTTGGGCACAGTGCATTTACAGCAAAATGAACAATTTCATGTGTATTTGGGTTTCCACACAGTGCTACAGCCTAATGTTTACAAATTTTATAAACTACCTAATGTATCTTCTTTGTCATCACACATGGTGCAATCTTCAGTCAGGTCTGCATTCTGAATGGCATTTCCATGTTCCTCTCTGAGTTTTATTACTTGTGGAAGGATTATACATTAGATTCATAATTACTTGCTCAATGAAAAGTACAAATAAAAGTTGGATATTTATTAAATGAGCAAAGTGGGAGAATATTGGCTTTCCTTGAAATACAGTCTTTAGTTAAATTGAAATTAACTGAAACTAGCCCAATGGGACCAAAAGGCTCCAAAGCTGTATTTTTACAACTTCAAATAAAAGACAAGGAAAATAGAATGACAACAAACTTACAACTCAGGCACTGACATTTTAGGTTTTATAGCATCAAATTGCATTTCAGTCGCCTGCAACATGAGCTTTACACATTCTTGAAGCAAAAGAGAGAAAAATGGTAAAGGAGGGAATTAACTTGGAGCTAAAGTTGACTTTGTGACTGAAATAATGCAAATTACTAGAGATGATCTCTCATCTTTAGTACCATTTCAAAGTGCCAGAGTTCCTGTTACTGGGCAGTAAGACAGAACATGGCCCAGTATAGGTATCTGAGAACTGGGATGTCAAAAAAGTAATGTTAGTACAGAGGCTGCTATCTGCAATTCTGCTGTTGTGGTTCAGCCAAAACCATTGAGCTGTTTGTGATTTATTTGCATTAGTTTTGCCCTTTCTCCTCTCTCTCAAAAGCACAATAAGGAGATGGGCTTTTTCCATAGGCTGTACTGATAGCCAGTTTCTTCATGCTTGATTCATTAAGTTGATTACCAAAATGTGATAGAATTTTTCTCAGGGTATAAATCTTCTGCTAGTCTGAAGTACAGTTTTCTATGGCTGCCTCCCTTCTGTTGTCTCACAAGCTTTCATCCTTTTTTGTACATCACAGAAAACAGGTTGTGCTTGGTCATTGTTATTTCCTGGAGAGAACCTTCTCTATATCTAAATAAATATTTTAATTATGGAATTGGAGTAATTATGGACCCAGGCTTCAGGAAGAGGAAGTATCTGACTTTTTTTGTTTTGATTAAAATGAAACCCATCAAATTTGAGACAGTTTGCAGAAATTTCCAGAGTAGTTAGAAATAAATCTTCTGTCTTTACACAGAACTGGGATACCTCAGTCCCTATGTTTTCATTAGTTCTTAGGCAGGATGGGTTTTTTTCACTCTGTTCACTGTCTTTCCTTACAAATAAATACTTTGTGTGATACCAAATGTATAGTGTATGTCAAAACAAGCCTGATATTCTTGTTCATTCATCCAGGCACCAACTAAATTTTCTGCAGTAGAAAAAAAAAAAAACAACAAAAAAAACCTAGGTGAAGAGAAGCTGTAAATTAAGACTACCCATGACAAAAGAGTAAAATCTTTTTGAAGTTATGTTTTAAAGGAGAAGATTAAAGGAAAGAAGGCAACAGGTAGGAAGGAACTTTATTTAAAGAAATGCATGATCTAGCAAGACAGGTGTAGCCTGGATTTTTTAATGCATTTTAGAAGACAGTATTAAACAACTGGATTATTATCAGGATTCATTATTTCATCCATACAGTACATATTCTTATTTTTCTCTTTTTAATTCTCGAGTTCCCTCTCAGTGTTCTTGTAGTAGTCTTTGCCCTTTCAAATTACATTATTCTGAAGGTTTTTTGCTATGGATAAAAGAAAAGAGCATTCCATCCTCTATGGCCCTACTTCATTCAGTCTCTGAAATACATTTCTGAAAATAAGTTGTATTTCTGGAAAAGCTGGACACTTAGCTCTTGGCAGCAGAACTGACTGCTCTGGCAGGTAGTGTGGCCAGATAAGTGCATGCTATAAAACAAAAAGTTGATTCTGAGACCCTGATATCTGTCCTGGGATTTTCTTTCAGAGTAGTTCCAGTTCCAAGGATTGAGTGTTCCTGAACTGTTGGGCATATCTTCTTTTTTTCAATTTCATTTGAAAGCAGTCCAATTTGAACTACATCTTTGTTAGTCTATATGAGAAAAAGTCTTTGTCTAAAATAATAAGCTTTATAGAAACAGGTCAAAATGATAGTGGTTTAGATTCTCATACCTATCTAAAATGTGAGAGGCATCAACCTTGCCTTACTAGAATGTATTTCTTCATTTGCTTTGTCGAAAGATCTGAAGTGGCTTGACTGTGCCACGCACTTTATGTGAGATAGGGAAGAAAACTGGCTAAGTTCTTGCTTCTTTCAATAATTTTTCTAGCTAACTGAAGGAATACTGAAGGATGCTAGCAGCAGGACCCCCCTCAATTATCTAACAAGAGTTTTGGTGTCTGGGGAGGTCCCTGCTGACTGGAACCTAGCCATTGCTATTCCAGTCTATAAGAAGGGTGTGAGAAAAGATACAGGTAGCTACAGACCTGTTAGTCTAAACGCAGAT